CCAAATACCTGGGACTGCAGGCAGCTACCACTGCACCTGCTAATTTTTTTTTGATTTTTATTTTGTTTTAATTTTTAGAGACAAAAAATCTCACTATGTTGCCCAGACTGTTTTCAAATTCCTGGGTTCAAGCAATCCTATGCCCTTGGCCTCCCAAAGTGCTGGGATTATAGGCATGACATTGTGCCTGGCTAAGCCTAGCATCTTGTATCAGCAAGTGCAGAATTATTGCCCCCAAGAGAAAGGAGAAAGCTTCCAGTGTGAAAGCAGAGGAAGGACAGCCTGTGTTCTTTTAACTGAGTGGAGGATGATGTTGGGGTGCATGAAATGTGTCTGACGTGGTGCTCTAGATCTCTATGGACTCCAGACAAAGGAGGAAGAAGGGAAACATTTAAATATGTTTAGCATTTTCTACATACCAGGTACTGTTCTTGGTGATAAAGCTGTATCTATATATATCTACACTTATGCATGCCTTTCTATATATATCTATCTGTTTGCTGTATGTGCATAAACATATAAGTTTATTTAACAAAACGTTTATACCAGGCACTGTTCTACATACTTTACAAATAGAAAACTCATTTAGTCTTCATAATAACCCCATGAGGCATGTATAATTATTATTCCCATTTTAAAAGTGATGAAGGCACAGTGAGAAAGTAATTTCCCAAGACAACTACAGAGTGATGAAGCTGGCATTTGAACCAGGCAACCTTGCTGCAGATGCCACTTTCATTGGATACTTTATAGCCTAGATTTGGAAAAATTAAGTAATTTAGTCATCAAAGCAGCTATTACTTGATGGAGCTTGAATCTCAGTACAAACTGTCCCCTAGACAAACATAGCTTTCCTTTTTCTCCATCTTTGCTTGTGTGTGGCTTCTGTATAGTGTTCTTCCTACTCCTGCCACTGTTGAGAGCTTAGGAGAAGGCTCCCTTCAAATGCCACTCCCAGGTTGGGTGTGGTGGGCTGTAATCCCAGCACTTTGGGAGGCCGAGGCAGATGGATCACCTGAGGTCAGGAGTTCAAGACCAGCCTGGCTAACTTGGTGAAACCCCATCTCTACTAAAATACAAAAATTAGCCAGGCGTGGTGGCAGATGCCTGTAATCCCAGCTACTTGGGAGGCTGAGGCAGGAGAATCACTTGAACCTGGGAGTTGGAGGCTGCAGTGAGCTGAGGTCATGCCACTGCACTCCAGCCTGGAGTTACAGAGCAGGACTCCATCTCAAAACAAACAAAAACAAATACCATTCCCTCCAAGATCCCTTTTTTGAAAATGGAGATGGACTCTCGATATGGTGCTGAGGCTAGTCTGGGACTCCTGGCCTCAGGTGATCCTCCCACCTCAGCCTCCCAGAGTGTTTGGATTACATTACAGGTGTGAGCCACTGCACCTGGCTGAAGATGCCTTTCTTTTTTTTCTTTTTCTTTTTTTGAGACAGAGTCTTGCTCTGTTGCCCAGGGTGGAGTGCAGTGGCACGATCTTGGCTCACTGCAGCCTCTGCCTCCTGGGTTCAAGCGGATTCTCCTGCCTCGGTCTCCTGAATAGCTTGGGACTACAGGTGTGCGCCACCATGCCTGGCTACTTTTTTTTGTATTTTTAGTAGAGGCGGGGTTTCACCATGTTGGCCAGGCTGGTCTCGAACTCCTGACCTCAGGTGATCCACCCGCCTCGGCCTCCCAAAGTGCTGGGATGACAGGCGTTAGCCACTGCGCCCGGCCAACCTTTCTTGATTAACACAACTGGAAGCCTCTTCGTTACTTATGTTCCTATTGGAATGAACTTTTAACTTTTGGGATGCTTACTAATTACTCCCTTATATGATAAGTTTATGGCCAGTGTCATGACTCTTATCATATTATGAGCCTCTTAAAGGCAGAACTGTCGTTGACACCACTTTCTGTTGTGGTCATGGGCGTCCTGCCACTTATACAAATCTTGCAAATGCTTGGGAGTTTCCTGATGGTGCTTTAACAAATGTTTGTTAAATCGATGGCTGTTCTGAATGTAGAGCAGTATGAAAACCCCAAGAGAATTCTAATATAATTTTTAAAATCAACTATGTTAAAATGAGTATTCAAACAACAGCGGTCATAATGCTGCCTTTCCTTTCACAATCCTGATCAAAACTGTCATAAAATTATGCTGAATTAGCCATTTATCAGGGTTTTTAAAAGCACTGTCTTGAAGAGTTTACGTCTTTTTTTTTTTTTAGCTGAAGAAGATAACAATTTCTTCTGTGTAGAGTTAGAGCTCTCTGTTCGTATGCATGTGAATAGAGTCCATTTCTGAAGTGTGAAGACTGCATGGCTGTGGATCACACTGGTGTAGCCCTCCTGAGCATGCAGCCTTTTTGGAGAATATGTATTAGTCAGCTTTTGCTGCATAACAAACCACCTGATACTAGTGGCTCAAAAAAACAAACATTTATTTCTGTACATCACAGTTCTGTACGGCACCGGAGTGATTCTGGCTTGAGCGAGCCTGGCTGGACTTTGCAGTTAGTTGGCAGCTGGTTGGCTGTGTGGTTTAGGATGGCCTGACCCACCCATCAGCACTCAGTGGGCTGACCGGCAGCAGGGACTTAGCAGTGATGGCGTGTCCCCACTCCATGTGGCCTTCTCATATGCAGTAGGGAAGCCAGGGCAGGGCATTTTGGAGTCGCAAGAGAGGGTGAGCCCCCACGTGCCAGCACTTTCCAGGGCCCAGCGTTATGTTTGCTCTTGTCCTACTGGCCAAGCCCAGAGTCAGTGCGGGAAGGGACTCCCTAGGGTAAGGAAGGAATAGGGGGACTTTACAGCAGCTATCTGCCCAGACACGTGATTCGCCTGTGTTCTTCAGTCAGTGTCCCTGAATCCTGTGCTAACCTCTGGTTGGGGACATGAGGCCATATCATGGAGAAAATTAAACAGGCTGGCGCAGCTACAGAGTTTTCCAAAGGAGTTAACAGACCTTGGTTTTCCTGAAATACTTAACAACCATTTGAAGTTCCTTTCAACATTTTATTTTTTGAAGAAGCTTCATGCTATAAAAACAGGGAGCCTTTAATCCACACTCAGTCAATATCCCAAATTGCCCTTCAGCAAGTACCACACTGCTGCTAGACCTGCTGTGAGCATAATAGCTCCGGCCGTTTATTGAGACTCTTTGTGTGCCTGTGCTATATACATCTCACTTCCTTCCAACACCAACCCTTGATGTCAGCATAATTATCCCCATTTTACAGGCGAGGAAGCCGAGTCATGGAGGTGAGCTCAGTTACTCAAGGTCAAACAGCTAGTAGGTGGTGGGGTACATTTTGAACCCAGGTCTTTGTGAGTCCACAGCTACAATCCAAAGAATTCCTAACGTAGGCCAGGCACATTTGGTTCACGCCTGTTATCCCAGCACTTTGGGAGGCCGAGGTGGGTGGATTGCTTGAAGTCAGGAGTTTGAGACCAGCCTGGCCAACATGGCGAAACCCCGTCTCTACTAAAAATACAAAAATCAGCCGGCCATGGTGGTGCACACCTATAATCTCAGCTACTCAGGAGGCTGAGGCAGGAAAATCCTTGAACACAGGAGGCAGAGGTTGCAATGAGCCAAGATTGCACTGCTGTGGCAGAGTGAGACTTTGTCTCAAAATAAATAAATACAGAGAATTCCTAACAAGTTGAGTTTTTTCTTCAATGTTCATTTTTTGGTGGCTTTTTTTCCCTTTGAGATAGAGTCTCACTCTGTCATCCAGGCTGGAGTGGTGGCATGATCTCGGCTCACTGCAACCCCTGCCTCCCAGGTTCAATTGATTCTCATGCCTCAGCCTCCCAAGTAGCTGGGATTACAGGTGCGTGCCACCATGCCCAGCCAAGTTTTTTGTAGAGATGGGGTTTCGCTACATTAGCCAGGCTGGTCTCGAACTCTTGACCTCAAGTGATCCTCCTGCCTCAACCTTAAATAGTTGGATCAAATAACCAGGTTCAATTTGATGATAAATAGCTCAGAATAGAAACTTTGCTGCTATTTCCAGATGTCATTTTAAAATATTTTAGAATACCTGATTTCTCCATGACCTATCCATGCTTTTCTAAGGTTCCAAAGTAAAATGCAGAATCTTGAGTCATTCCAGAACATAAATTTAAAATTTAATCAGAAAATAACCTTCATCTAAGAAATGAGGGGCCAGGCATGGTGGCTAACGCCTGTAATCCCAGCACTTTGGGAGGCCAAGTTAGGTGGATCGCTCGAGCCCAGCCTATTTATTTACTGTCCTATCATAGGCTTGAGACCAGCCGGGGCAACATAGCAAAACTCCTCCATCTCTACAAAAAATATAAAAATTAGCCAGGTGTGGTGGTGTACACCTGTAGTTCCGGCTACTTGGGAGGCTAAGGTGGGAGGATCGCTTGAGCCTGGGAGGTGGAGGTTGCAGTGAGCCAAGATTGTGCCACCACACTCCTGCCTGGACAACAGAGTGAGACATCTTCTCAATTAAAAAAAGAAGAAAAGAAAGGGTACTGTGTCCCTCTTGTGTGGCACCCTCCCTCCTCTCCCTGCTGCAGCCATAGCACATCACACATAAACTGCATCTTATACTTGACCCAAGTATTGTATCTGCCTGGGTGAGTCTGTTCCTGTCACTAAAAGGTGAACTCCTTGGACATAGAGACCTTGTCTTTCATCTCTGTATCTATCCCCAGCACCTGTCATAGTAACTGGAACATGCCAATTTTTTTTTTTTTTTTTTTTTTTGAGACGGAGTCTCACTTTGTTGCCTAGGCTGGTGTGATCTTGGCAGTGGCGCAATCTTGGCTCACTGCAGCCTCTGCCTCCCGGGTTCAAGAGGATTCTCCTGCCTCAGTCTCCTGAGTAGCTGGGACTACAGGCGTGCAACACCATGCCTGGCTAATTTTTTTTGTATTTTTAGTACAGACGGGGTTTCACCATGTTGGTCAGGCTGGTCTCGAACTCCTGACCTCGTGATCCACCCACCTCGGCCTCCCAGAGTGCTGGGATTACAGGCGTGAGCCACCATGCCTGGCTGCCAATTTTTATTGTATGATTTTATAACTAAAATTTCATGTCTAGCAGTGAAATTCTTCTGTCTTCTTTGTTTATTTATCTTCCTTTTAGTCCTTTCTTTCTCCTCGGATCTTTCCTCTTCTATCTATCTCAGTTCCTTCATTTTCCATAGCTCTCCATTTCTCCCAGCATCTGCTGCTAGTCTAGTCTCCTGGCTCTTAACCTTTTTGAGACACAGACTCTTTTAATGAAGTGATGAAGAAATTTCTCTCTCCAGAAGAAGACACACAGAGAACACAGAATATTTTGCTATTATTTCAAAGGTAAAGAATGCCAAGAAGCCAGGGGCAGTAGTTCATGCCTGTGATCCCAGCACTTTGGGAGGCTGAGGTGGAAGGATCACTTGAGCCCAGGAGTTCGAGGCTGGCCTGGGCAACATGGTGAGACCTCGTCTCTACAAAAAAATTTAAAAATTAGCCAGGTGTGCTGGCACATGCCTGTAGTCCCAGCTACTCAGGAGGCTGAAGTGGGTGGATTGCTTGAGCTCAGGAGGTTGAGGCTCCAGTAAGCCGTGACTGTGCCACTGCACTCCAGCCTGGGTGACAGAATGAGACCCTAGCTCTAAAAAACAAAGAATGCCAAGTGTCTAAACTTTGAGCTCCTTGAGGACAAAAACTAGGTGTTTTTCATCCTATATGCCTAATATCTTAGTTGATGTTTATCGAGTGTATGTAAGTGTGCACTTGCCCACAAACACGTAAATATTAGTATATGTTGTAGAAAAGCTGTTGTCAGGAAGATATTTGTACACTCAGGCTTTCCACTATGATAGTCACCAGGCACATGTGAGTACTAAGCATTGGAAATGTGGATTGTCCAGATTGGAATGTACTAATTGTAAAATATGCACTGGATTGCACAGGCTTGGGGCAGTACAAACAAAAGAATGAAGATATCTCATTAATAGTTTTTATGATTATTACACATTGAAATAATCATATCTTGGATATATTGAGTTAAATAAAATATATTATTAAATTAATTTTACCTCTTTATTGTTACTTTTCTAAAAGCAGCTACTAGAAAATTTTAAATTATACATGTAGTTGCTCATAGAAGGTTGGTATCCGGGTTAATTCATTAGTGTAGATTCATAAACACAGTAATTTTCTTTAATTTCATGGATTCGTTGAACTAAAGATCCCATAGGTCACTGCCTTCCCTGTCCCTCCTCTACCACCAAAAATTAATGAGAACAAACGGGAAGAATTTACTCTGCTTTTAAAGGTACTCTGATACAGATTTTTCTCTACTGTCATAACTATACCTAGAACAAAAGCACTGTTGACTCAAGTAGTTTCACTAATGAAAAGGAAGCAGCGGAATGACTAATGTAAATTGGAGGAGGCACTGTTTTATTTGGAATGCTTTGGTTCTTCCACTGTGGAACAAGTGTGGCTGCAGTTGAAACAGCAGAGTCATACTAGGCATATCTGATGTGTGAGGAACCGGAGCATTGCTCAGGGGCCCCTGCCTTCCGATGAATGGATGTAGGATCCATCATACATCAGATTGCTCCTCTCCAATACAAACTCTGATGCAGAAATGCACTTGGTGTCGTTGCTTTTTCTTACTTTGTGGTTTAGGGCAGAAATAATATTTTGGCTTAGAGACTTTTCTCCTGAACTATGACATAATAGGATAAGAATATTGTGTCAAAAATAGCCTTACAAGGTCCTTTTTGGCATTAAGACTTCTGGAGTGAGTTTGCGGTAGATTATTGAGAACAATTCTGTTCATTAGCAGCTAGCCATCTTTGATGAGTGCTGACTTCTCTCCTTTCAGCACAGAGTGGGAAATGGCTGCCTCCCATGACTCTGGGTTGGAGTGAAGGGGAATGCATACCAGCCACCCTCTTGCAGAGGTGGGGCAGGTGCTGGCATAGAGCCTCAGGTTAGGCCGAGGGGATGCAGTCTCAGGCCAGCAGCCGGCAGTGTTTGTAAACAACAGGAGGGAGATTGTGCTGGTGATGTCCAACTCACGCCAATGAAGATCAACCGTTTGCACTTTGGGCAGCAGGCTGCAGATAGACATTGCCTCCTGAGGGCATCGCCTTGTGTTAGGGATCCATGTTGTAGGATGCCTGCCTGCAAGAGAGAGTCTAGGAATGCTTTTTAAGCCCCTGGAGTTCAGGCCTGGCATCTGGGTGTCAAGTAGAGTGAACCTCCTGAAGTCCAAACTAACATGACATTTTAAAATGAGGAAAACAAACAGCTCTGAAAAGGTCTATAGGATTATAGATAAGTGGTTAATACGGAAGATGTTATAAAGGGCTCAGGAGGTGATGGGGTGATCCAGGGTTGGTTGAAGTCATTGAAATTGAATTACCCTGTCTTTTACCCGTCTGTGGAAAAAAAGAGGAAAACGACATCTCCCAAAGATGCTTGGAGATTTGATTGATGTTTGTAAAGTGCTTTGATATCTTTCATAGAGTGTCCAATAAGAGCAAAATATGTCATCAGAACTTAGTCTAAAGCAAACTATTCTAAACCATCTTGAGTAGATACTAGGCAGTTAATGTCTTCGTTATAAGTTGTACTTATGTTTTTGAGAGAAAGTTTTTCATGTTCTGATTTTCTTTTAAGTATCAGCTGTATGCTTGGTGTCTTTACCTGTTAGCTTGAGTTCCAACATGCTCTGTAGATGGTCCGTCACCTACAGAGGACAATTTTTCTAGCCAAGCAGTAAATCCACCTTAAAATGCTTCTTGCCAAGGACAATGCCTTTGCAAATATTTGAGATGTTTATTCTCAGTTGTGATTTATTACTGAATCTGTGTCTTCATAGCTACTCCTTGGGAGGTGCAGAAGGAGGCAGAGCCAGAAAGCAAGTCCCTGCAATCAGTTCATTATAGAGAAAGAAAAAGCTGTTATTTCAGGGTTCCGGTGGATAGACTTTCCAATATGTATGTTCTCTATTTAATTTCATGTAGTGCTGCATCTAATCACGCTGTTTAATCGAATAGAATGTCCTTTTGCTTTGCTTTTGCTTGTAAAGAGCACACAGCACTGCCACCTTGTTGCCAAAGTTTGGTCTGATTTGAATGTGCTTAAAAATCAAGTGAATGCCTGTTAGGAAAAAGCTTACTCCTTCTCTTTGTCAGTACTTGCAAAAACAACTTAAAAGAAGTTAGCATTATTGGACTGAATTCAGTAATTAGCATAATCATGATGCTATGTATTGTTCACCAGGGCACGCCCCTTGGCCGCATTTCCCATTAAGAGGACACCGATGTTGTCCTAGTGAATAAATCCCGGCACACATGATGCAAATCAGCGTGTTCCTGCCTGCCGCTTGGCTGCGGTTAATTTTAGCCGGGGTTAGTTCTATGAGTTGTAAAAGTAGAAGTTAGCAAGCTGAAATGTGACTTCTCGGCCTAATGTGATAGGATATCTATTTTAGACTTCAGATTGTGTTTATGATCAGGAGAGCAGTCTTCTGAAGAATTGTGGCTCAGTTTTCTTGGAAACTACTTGTAAGTACTGGGTGGAATTTTAAGACTTCTCTTTGTTCTTTTCTCCTTAAATCTTCCTAATGTTACCGTCATAGTAATGTTTATCTCTTGGGAAAACTGGAAGCTTTGAGGTTGGTACGTGAGAGAAAGCTAAGAAAGGTGGCAAAAGGTTTTTCTTTAAATATCTCCTAGTGCAATAAATCTGCCTCATTCAATTTTCCCAAGAAAAAGTTTTCGATTCTTTCTTATTTTTGCAAAAGCAATCTGTAGATTATTATTTTATGTTAAAATATTTGACTAATGGATATGGTTTCTGTAAATACAGAAACATTGTATTGTGTCATTGAGCTTATTTTCTACTATGGTAACCTAACTCTTGAGAAAAAAAATGTTAAAAGTTAATTCCTGTCATACTCTGTGCTACAAGTTTATTTTGTAGAAATAATGGAGTGTCAAATGTAATTTTCTTTAATGTACAGATGGACAGGTTTTTATCTTTTTAAGGGGAATTTTGTGCTAAAAAATAAACCCATATACGCCTAAAGATAAGCACTTTTAAAAATTAATTTAGGAGGAAGGTTTTAGAGAATAATTTAAAGCATCCTCTTTTAGACTGAGTTTAGTTATCAAAAGTAACCAAAGACCATGGGATTCTGTAACCTTAACTGCAGTTCATCTAACACGTTATTGCCAACTTAAATTTGTACTGAAGAACACAAAAAATTTTGATATTGAATATTTTAAACTACATTTGAATCACCTTGCTTATTTAGAAGTGTGTTTGCAGTGTGGACTGACTTCATGCCAAACAGTCTGCTTACAGCAGGGAACCAGGCAGGAATTTCTTCATCAATTAGCAAGTAAATGTATCAGCTTTAGGAATATAGATGTTAATGAAACAATTCTCCTAGGCAGTAGGATAGGTGCTTACCAGCTATCTGTGCCTGTCAACTCTAGAGCAAGGAAGGAGGCAGGTCCTCGGTTAGTATTGTGAATGCCATTTTCCTATTTTGAAAAGATGTAGTTAAAGACTTCTTTGTTACTATGTATTGTCTGATTTTAAATGCAAATGACATAAAGTGTCAACAATGAAAGGAAATATTTCAGTGTTCCATTTAATAGGAAAAGAATGAAAGAAAGAAAAGCAGTACTGAGTTCTTGGGCTATTTTTAGAAAGAAACTTACTTCATACTTAGTTTTTACTGAGCTGAAGAGAAATTTGCTGTCCAGGTGAATTATAACGATAACAGAAGCCTCTAATGTCATCTTCAGCAGTAAAAAGGGTTTCGTTCCAGTAATCCTTCATAATGTATACGTTTATCCAAAAAATTCTGACTTATTGCTGTTACTTCTTACTTTTAATTGTTAATAAGGCACCATCAGAATCTCAGTGGAGCATTTTTAAAGGTACACTGTAGTTGGGTATTAGTTTTCAAGCCAGTATTCACTTGACTTATTGTAGTTTTTAGTCCTGCAAAAGGAGAAAAGCTGATTCGAATTTATCCGTTGTTTAATTTCACAGACATTTCTGTAGGTTTTTCTACTACTAGGAAGCGTGTGCTTTATGACGAGTTGCTAAAATGCACGTAAACACTTGCGGAGTGTTTGTTTTAATGATTTACGTGCTGAGAGTGGCAGCGGTGAGTGAGAGCGGAGATGGTTTTCATTATGTAAGTGTCAGTGCCGGAATTCCTCATGTTTGCCGGTGCTGCGATTCTCTTTGCTGCTTCTACCCCGTGTGCCTGGTGAAATGATGCTGGCCGTGACTGGTTATGACCTTGGGCGACAAATCATGATGAGCTCTATGCAGAGTCACACACGGGGGGCCCAGGTGCCGAGAAACAGGTCAGCCTTGTGGCCTCAGGAGGAGTCCAGGAGCCGAGCCCGCCTGCCCTTGCCCTGCTGTCCCCACGCGGCAGGTGACCACACGTCTCCCCTGCAGCCCTGTTGGAGCCACTCTCTCCAGCTGCCCATGCTCTTATCCTACTCCTCCACGTCTTAAAATAGTTACAGACCCAGAGGCTCTGACAGAACCGCTGCCGGTTGCAGGAGATTTATTTCACTGTTACTTTCTGCCTAGAGGGATAGCCTTCTGCTCGGAAGCTTTGAGGGGTTTCTCAGGAACGCAGAGAGGAACGTTTTCTCTGGGACCCCCTCACTCACATGAGGTTTTAATGGGTCCCTTGCCTGCATGGCTAAATGTGAAGTGCGCTATGTAACAGGTTGCCTTTTGGCTTGGAGCTGGGATGCTCAGTGATCACATCCCTAGAATGTTCCTTCTCTAAAAGAAATCTTGTCGGAAGAGGCTATGTTATGTGAGTTCCAGCTGTTCATCTAAAGTGGAAGGAGCACCTGCTCCTAAAGTGGAAGGAGCAGGAGGGATGCCTTCAGCTTCCGACCGTCTTAAACACAAGTGTAACAAAATGGGATATGGCCCTCGGGAGGAAGACTGACTTCTCGGGCATACAGAGGACTGCTGTCATAATTTAGCATGTATTAAGCACCCCACAGCACACGCAGTGCACAAGGAAAGCATAGTTCCAACCCACATGCTACAACAAGGCAGGACACAGAAACTGGGCCGCTGACATTCAGTAACTACACTGGCAGAAAAAAATGTGAAAATGAAGAAAAGGGAAACAAAATGAGTGGGGTGGGTTGAGGGTACTTCAGCATTCAGCTCCTCTGGGCTTTTGCCACCTGGGCTGTGCCAGCTGTGCCACCTGGGCTGTGCCTTCCCTTTCTCTTCCATAGCTGGGAAGTGATGGGGACAAGTGACAAGACTGACCGCAGAAGCCTTGCCCCCCACTCTCAGTCCTCTGTTGCAATCCTCCTGCAAAGAGGAGAAGCTTCACAGTTTCACTTGCACCTGAAACTATTATTATTATGTGGAGGGGATAGACTTGTTATAAAGTCCAATAAATATCAAAGCATCTTTCTCCATAAAATGATATTTAGGTAGAAATCTGGAGTTCCGGATTCTCCCTTCCTGAACTGGTTTGCACTTCAACAAGTTACTTAACCCTGCACTGGTTTAGGATATTGAGTCAACTGTAATATTAGCTAGGGAAATGCCTTCAGCTTCTCAGAAGAAAGGCATTATGAAGGTCTGCTGAGCATTACTGCAGCTCGTAAAGGAGTTAGAAGCACATGAATCAGAAGAAGGGCTGATAGGCAGACTTGGGTACTGGAGAGTAATAACGTGAGCGGCCTGCGTGGTTCTGTGAGTCTGTGAGTCCATCCCCTCCCTGTGCCAACCTCAGCCAGTCTCTAAGGTTCTGGGTCTAGTTCATGGCTCCACAATGAAAAGAGACTGGGAGAGGGCTCCACAAAGAACCCCCCAAAAAACAAAACAAAACAAAACACAAAACCAAAAACCAATTGAGGGTTGGAAAATGATACCTATGATAAGAGGGTAGGGAACTTCTGTTATTTAGTGTTATGTAGCCTGGAAGAGGAAATGAATGACCGGGAGACTCTTGGATTGTTCTTCAAGTATATGTGTGTCTCAATGCCAAAGAATGGTGACCCACTGGTATCTATTTCCATCGAGAATGAAAGGGTCAGGTCCAGCAAAGGTTAGGCTGGAACAGAGGTGCTGACAGTGGGGACCCTCTTCCTTCAGCATCAGCACAGCCTGGAAACATGTGAGAAATGCAGAATCTCAGGCCCCACCCAGGCCCTGCTGAATCAGAAACCACGGGGTGGGGCCGGCAGCCTGTGTTAAAAAAGTCTCCCAAGTGATTCTGCTGGATGAGATGCAAAGATGGAGGGTATTATAAAATGGGGAATCTGGATGCCAAAAAAGGTAACCCTTTTTCCTGAAGTCATCTAAACGTGGTATTATATTTGTTTGCAGTATTTTCAATGTACTCTCTAAAGCCAGGAGATAAATGACCTCTCAGAGTCCCTTCCAGCCCTGACTTTGCTCTGGATTTCCTTTTGTCACTTAGAGAAGATTAATAATTAACCAGGAAAATTTTGCAATTACTTTTCTGAGCTAAGACAGTGTTCCTCTCAAATGAGGCTCACCTGAGATAATGTGAGAATAATATTGTGTTAGCATATGGATCTACTGTATTTTATCATCAGTGTTACCAGATAGACTCTCTCCTCCCCATCTGACCTCACAGCCACCTGAAGGGGTTCTGGGCAGTGTTAGTGAGTAGCCCATATGGGGGGTGGGGAGCTTAGTGTTGGCTCATGAGCACTTTATATCACAGACTGCGGCCAGGTTGGTCCCTGTCTTCACAGAGCCCATTTCAGAAGAGGGGGAGCTGCAGGGAAAGTTGGACCCTACCCACTACACACTAGGAGCAGGAAGCAACATAGAAGGCCCTAACAAATCCAAGCACAGTGGAATGTATTATCTGTGTGTCAGCTCTCCACTAGAGATAGAGGAGAGGGACACATTTTATCTCAACATTTTTGTATCTACAACAAATAGCCCAGTGGCACACATAGGATGGACTTAATACAAATAAATTCTAATTCCATTGGAATGGCTAAGGCCACAAGTAAGTGCTCTGCCTTCTCATCTGTAATCAGTTCTCTAGAGTCAGGAAGGTGGCCATTCTCACCTCTCCCGATCAAAACTGTTACTCCTAGGAGTCCCCTATTCATCTCTCTGCTGTCTCTTCCACCCACCTTTATTTGCACATAATAGAAATGCATCTGAATTTAGTTATGCCTGTGCCCTTTTGTATATTTATTTTCCTTTGTGCTTTCGCTTGACAGAAGTGTCTCCGGTTCAAAACACAGGCCGCTGAGAGTGTCTATTCGTTATACTTTGTATAGCATTTAGGACAATAAAACCTTTTTGTGATCATAATGAAGAAAGGACTCTCTGAGGACGTTTTGCCAGTGCTGTTTAAAAAGTGTTACACTTCCTGCAGGAGCTAGGTTTTTAAAAATAATAAAGATAAAAATAAAAACTGTCACATAAGTAACGCACTGCCATGTCTGAAAAAGACCCGCCTTACCTTAGCCAGGGAATTTTGGCCCTAATATTTCAGCACTTG